AATCGTTGTGGTCTGTGGGATTTTAATTCAATAGTGTAACCCTTGCAGTTTTAGGGAAGCCTCACATATCGATTTTTTCCACAAGAAACGTCATATGTTCGTTTTGAGGGTGGGGGAGGGGGGTTTACAGCTGTGACGTTTCTCTGTAAATATCATGGAAAAGTTCGATAGTTTTTTCAGATACTGTACCTTAACATTTCGGAATCAACTTTGCAGAATATAAAAAAGAAAACAACTTGAAAGGAAACGACTATTCAAATATAAGGGCTGGTAAACTAAAAATAAAAACTCCTTATATGGATAAACTTTGTAAACGTTCATTTCACATGTACACGCACGCTAACAGCTGCTTAATAATTAACTTACGTATTTGTAAACATCAGTCGATAAATAAAATGGTACATTAATATGGACAAAATGGATCAAAACCTCTGAAAACAGCTGTTGTAGTTCCAATTCTTTTGGGGAATTTAGTAGCAAATATAATCCTTAAATAGCTCATCGATTTGTATATGTTAGCGCTAAAGTCAAACGGCCGGGTGGTAGATCACGTTGAATAATGATCTGAAGTTATCATGCAACCGTCAACAATGTCTCAAAATACTGGATGTTTGATGATTTTTTTACAAATATACTGGGATTTCTGGACCACTTTTAAACTTAGCAAAGCGAAACGTCCCCATTCAAGAATATGTTTTTCTCGAAAGGTAAAATACTTAGAATACTTGATTAAATTGTTTACTTCGACGGTGTATAAATTAACAGCGTTTGACTTGCAAGACGTCAAAAACGGAAGATTTCAACGCGCTGTCGTTTATCGCGTATTCATTTGCCAAAAGAAGTATTTACGTCAATTGAAAGCTTGTTTATTAAAGAGCCAACTAGTAGAAGCATAATCGATTTGGAGCTTTATCGCATGGTGAAAATCGATTTTGTTAAGAGGGTATCGTAAATGAAGTAAGATAGTGTGCTCCAAAACTACGATTATTTCTATTCCTAAAAGTAACTCAGATTTCCTGTAAGTTATGTACACAGTCCTTTGAATAACCGAAAACAAGATTTTTAGGGTTTTAGATCGATTAGAAACGGTTGTCGTCGTGAAATTTATCTGTAAAATCAGCGCATATTTTCCCAGAAAAAATGGCGATTTAGGGTGGTCGTGTTAAAACGGCATTTTCTCAAAGTTAAAAAAGTATTTGACCTAAAAAAATATATGGTGCATTTTCCGATATAATAAGGTATATCTGGGCAAAATTTGAGCAAAATCGATTTTTCAGTCGTGGCCGCTTTATGTTTGATTTTTGTGGACATCGTCTCTTAACCTTTTTGAGCTGAGCAGCGGTTCCAATTATTAAAAACTCTGTCTTCCCATCATTCAGTTTAAACTTATCAACTGTCATCCAAGTCCTGATGTCCTTGATACAATTCTGTAGTGCACATATTACGTCAAGCTCATTAGTAGCACCGTCCGGCTTAAACGAAAGGTATAATTGAGTATCATCAGCATACGCATGCACGTCTGGCAGGTAACACTTAACTATTTCGAATAGCTTGCTTGCGTAGATTGTGAAAAGCAACGGACCGAGACAAGAGCCTTGAGGAACATACATACATACATATATACATACATCAACTTTATTTAAACACGGAAAATCATCAGTATAGTTATTTACAAAAATACTAAAATATTTTTAAAGAAAAAAGCAAAAAGAAATATAGATACTGTTCTACCTGATTGCCGTGTGGGAGTCAGATCGATTATTTATTAAGAAGGCTTCTAAACCTGTCTTAAAAGCAGCGAGAGAGGTTACTGATCTAAGAGATTCAGGCAGGCCATTCCATAAAGAGGCTCCACTGTAACTGAAGGAGCGTTTCAAATAATCTGTGCTTGGTTTTGGCACATAAAGTTTACCATAAGAATCTCTCAGGTTATAAACACTCTCACTAGGAGAAAACATCTCTTGTAAATAGAATGGTGTATGTTTCTTAATAGTATTAAACATGAGGATTGCCTTTTGCTTTAATCGCTTAGTGGACAATGATTCCCAATTAAGTTCTTCAAGAAGAGAACTTGATGAAATATCATAAGATGAACGGGTAATAACACGGACGGCCCTATTCTGTAATTTTTCGCTTTGCTTTTTACCTAGGCTATCCCAAACAGGGGCACAATAGGAAAAATAGGGCTCCACCAAACTTTGGTAAACTCGAATTGCAGTTTCTGTGGTAATAAAATCTCTCATTCGTTTGAGAGCGCCGATACCCGAAGAGACTTTTTTCGTGATATTATCAACATGATATTTCCAAGTCAAGTTCTCATCAATTGTTAAACCTAATGACTTAGACTTCAGCACTCTATTAATCTGTTTATTGTTAACACATACTTCCACATTCTGATTATCAAAGGTTTGAAAGTCTTTGACGAGATCCGATAATCATAAAGTCAGTCTTGGCAATATTTAAACTTAACTTATTTGCCTCTAGCCATGTGTTTAAATTGGCTATTTCAGCATTCATAAGATTTTCTAGCTCAGAAAGATTATTACTTTGCATGCTGATGTTCGTATCATCAGCATACATTCTAGGTAAACCCTCGTTCAAGCAGTTAGGCAAGGAACACCGTGAGGGAGAGAGAAACTTTCCTGGATAGTTACCATTTATTAGCACACGTTGAGATCTGTTAGTTAAGTAGGATTTAAACCATTTAAGGGCAGTACCTGTTATTCCAAAGCTGACCTCAAGACGACGTAATAACACTTGATGATCTACAGTGTCAAATTCAGCACTCAAGTCTAAAAGTACTAGTAGTTAGACTCTTTGTTGGTCCATAGAGCACATGATGTCATTATGTACTTTTAGTAAGGCTGTTTCCGTACTATGACCAGCTCGATATGCTGATTGCATGTAGGATTGGGTATATATCTGAACATTTAATGTGTTCAAGTGTCTGGTCACTTACAGCTCTTTCCGTCAGTTTAGATACAAACAGGAGATACTTATTGGTCTTAAATTTGATAGCGATGCAGGTTGACCAGTTTTATTGAGCCTTGGATCGACAAGGGTGGATTTCCAAGCAAAGGGAAAATAACCTAGCGAGAGGGAGGAGTTGATCATGCAGTTGATTGTTTTATGGTCTCCGACAGTCTCGATATGATCGGTTACAAAGAGTTTTGTTTTAACAGCTTTATTAGGAAGAGTAACAGCTAGTTCCCAAAAGGGAAAGTAACGAACGGGTCATAAGAACCCATGCAAGGCTACCCCCATATACATTTCCAAAATAATTTAAATATTACGATTAATAAAATTTTCAGCTTATAATTCTTGAAAGTGCTTTTACACACTCCATTTAGGTAGGACCAAATGCAGAGATTAATATAACCCCCCCCCTAATTTCATGTCTTGTGAAACGCTATAAAACGTGCAAGCTGGATAATTATTCATTTTACAAAATACGTATACCCCATGGGCCCCACCAATCGCAGAATGTAAAAGCACCTCAAGTCCTATGACAAGCGCAGTCTCTAACGATTGACCAAGTACAGGTCAAGTCCACATCAAAAACAGTACCTAAAGGTACGTTAGAAAGTTTGATTTGAAACCTTCTAAATGAGACGAGACTACTAAAACTACTACTCGGTGCAACCTTACATATAGAGTTCCACATCCTAACAATACGATTAAAATACGAGGCTTTAAAAGTACTTGTTTTACAAAGTGGAGTTTTTAAAACTAGAGTTGAATTACTATTAAGACGTGTCCGTTCGTGAGTGACAAAAGAGACATAGTCCAGTACATTTAAATCATATAAACCATGAAGAGCTTTGTAGAAAAATATAAGGTCTCTTACTTCACGATCATAACACAGAGGTAACAGATGAAGACTAGTTAGTCTGTTAGTCTGTCTCTGTAAGTAACGTCTCCCACCTTCACTCTAAGGATACGTCTGCTGGCACGTCTTTGCACTTGTTCCAGTTTGATCTTCTGGGAACAATGGTGAGGGGACCAGACTTCACTAGCGTAGCAAAGTTGTGACTTCACGTGAGCCAAATATAGTGTTCGCCTTACCATTACATTCATCAATAGAGGTTCTCTTGAGCAACCCCAGCATCCTATTTCCTTTAGCAGTTATCCTATGAATGTGGGAGTCCCAAGACAAGTTTTTTGACATTAATATCCCGAGATCTTTTTCTTGGTCAACGTTGACTATGATAAACTAGTTAAGGTGGTATGCAAAGGTGACAGGACGTTTCTTTCGAGTAATTGACATCACCTTGCATTTACTCCAACTCGTCAAATTACACAAAGCTTGCTGTAGTTCTTGAGCATCACATTCAGACGTTATCCCTCTGAAGGAAAAAAAACTAACACTATTATACAAAATCAAATACAACCTTATTAATGTCACCTTTAACCAATACCTTACACCTGCAACTAACCCCTATGCCGCGCGCAACTTCGACCCTAACAACTATAACATAATCGTCTCCAATAATCAAGAATTCTTCCGACAATCCTATTTCCCACGCACTGTCATTCTCTGGAACAATCTACCACCGAACATCAAAGCCGCCCATTCCCTACAGATCTTCAAGCACCATCTACAATCTTATTACAAAGCCAAACTGTTTACCTACATACCACCATAGTTAATCTTGTTCTATAATTCGTTGTATCCTATATGTTAAGTTCCATGTAATCTGTGATATGTTCGTGCATAATTGTCCTAGTACGTCTCGTTATCCATTAATTGTTAAGGGGTCGAATATCAATTGGAATTTAGTTTCTGTTTTCTTCTCCTGTCGCAGCATTCTCTAGTTATTGTTATTGTTATCTCTACGTAAATGTATATCTTTAATGTGTGTGACAAAATGAATAAATAAATAAATAAATAAATAAGGGTTTGGTGTCATGAGCATATAAGGCAACCTTTGTTTTTTGTTGCACGACATTTGGCAGGTCGTTAATAAATAGTACAAACAGCATTGGTCCAATTATGCTACCCTGAGGAACACCTGAAGTAACATAGTGTCCAGTCAGAAGCTACCCCGTTCATAACAACTCTTTGAGTCCGATTAGTAAGATTGTCTTGAAACCAATTAAGCATTCTCCCTTTCACGCCGTAACACTTGAGTTTTGTCACTATTAAACTATGATCGACCGAGTCGAAAGCTTTGGCAAAATCTAAGTATAGTATATCAGTTTGGATGTTCTGGTCTAAGTTCTGCCCGATTGAATGAAGCACTCGTAAGAGTTGAGTAATACACGAACGATTCCTTGCAAAACCATGTTGCAACGGAGAAATAGCACTTATCATATGCTCATAAAGTCTTCTACCTACGCACTGTTCCAACAGTTTGGCAATCACAGGAAGAAGAGTTATGGGTCTATAATTTTCCGCATGCTCCCTTGATTCTTTTTTGTGTATGGGAGTAATGTCAGCAGCTTTCCATTCCGACGGAAGACGGCTGACGGCCTATACGTAAGGAGTAGTTAAATAATTCGCACAGACTGGGCGCAATCTGGAAACTGTACTCTTTTAGCAGACGAGCTGAAATACTATCAGGACCACACGCTTTCGTTGTATCTAAAGTCCACAGTTACTTGAAGCTCTTCAAATTCAGAGCATAAGTTCTCTTCAGGTAGAAGATTATATCACGATCCGCACTTACGGTCGGTTTAGAAAACACCGAGGTAAAATAGGCGTTGAGAAGTTTTGCTTTTGCAAATGAATTTGTTCCTGTGGTACCATTGTAAATAATTTTGGAAATCTGATTTGTTCTTTGATGGTGGTAACTCCAAAAAGATTTGGGATTAGTGTTCAAGGATTCCTCGATCT